ATTGACACTGGTTTCATGTTTTCCATCTCATGACTTGCCTTACATCCTTTCTCACACTTGTGATTGGTTGACCACATGTGGGTACTTTGGAGCTTGCTTTATAAAACAACATTTTTTTCCCTCAGGGTAAATATTTAGTCAAGAGATCCATGGACATCATTAGCTTAGTTGGAGATGCAGTGCTGGCATTAAGAGTCCCGGATGAAGAAATGATATCGATTGAGACAACGAGACTGACCATGACCTTAGGCCGCCATAGCCCGGATAAACTTGTAGGATTAAATATTGAAGAAAAAGATGCTAGATTTGTTTTGCCGGCTGCAAAGAAAGCATTGGAATCCAGCGGAATACTAGGAGCAAGTTTTGTGGATACTCAGGTATGGATATTGTATCAAGCAGCAGATGACGACAGTTCTTAGGGAAACAAGTTTGTTGTCCTTTTAAACCTGACATTTCTGAAACGCGTGGTTTGAGATGTTTTCCTCGACTACATCTCGAGAAAGACTGAGAAACTTATTGTTCCACTCATGACCGGAAATAAAGCGCACAATATCCACAGTCCTTCATGGAGTTTTAGAGAGTCGCTAAACAAAACGTTTTTTGAGTAGCACCGTGGTCTTGGACGTGGTCTTTAAACCTAGGTACATTTCTTTTGTATTGTAACGATGGATTTGACTGTTTATCGAAAGCTCTCGATCTCTTTCTTACTGTCCATGACATCAACAAGCTTTATTTCCCCTCGGACCAACAAGAATATTTTTTAACAAGGTTATATATTAATAGAGTTAGGGGCCAGGCTACCTGAAATAACTAGAGAGTTAAATCAAAGGAGACCTACGGCCAAACTCGTGGATTAAGTAATCTAGAGGTGAACCATGTTGGTGAATTTGCAATTACTAGTCTAATATTAAAAGCTGTTAAAACAAGCTGGGTTAGTACTACGTAAGGTCGCACTTATTTTACAAAGCGTAGGGTTTTGTTGCACAAATATCACAAAGACATACCTCCAGAATAGCTACGGTGCCAAAATTGCAGCTGAACATGGAGTGGTAAAGGCAAAGGGTTCTTGAGTCAGAGTGAGCACTCCTACCCAAAAAAATCATAAAGTACTCCCTTCCCCAACCCAAATCTTGATGTTGATATTTGTCTGCCTGCTGAGGTTACTGGGAAAATTTGCATGTATTCAAGAACATTTTTTCTTTTCGTACGAGCTTACAGACCTTTCTCGTTGCGTTTCACTCTAGGCTATAGGCAAAGGTTTCTTACGGGTCTCTACATTTATTACACATAAAATACATCAAAATAAGTAGCCTCTTTTGCATGCATTTTCAGTGTTGATCCAAAAAATCTGTCGACCCATAAATATGTGTTCCAAAAAGAGCACAGGGCTTTCTTTCCCTTTTTTATCTTCTTAATCAGGATGCAAAAGTGTGAAAAAAAGACAGGGTAAAAATCATTTTAAGCTTATCAAAATCAAGTATTTGGGAATTTCTTTCCAAGTTTATGTGCATTTCACATCCCACTCAGAGTTCAGATAAATGGCCGTTTTTTTGTTGGAGACGTTTAAATTGACGCCTAAAACGTGAAAGGCGTCTGGTATAAAAACGGGACGCATTTAAGTACACGGCCTAACAAAAAAAAAAACCCTTTAAAAAAAAATCAAAGGAGACCTATGGTCAAACTCACGGATTAAGTAATCTAGAGATGAAACATGTTGACGAACTTGCAATTATTGGTGTATTTTTTAAAGGCTGCTAAAACAAGCGGGGTTCGTACCACGCAAGGTCGCACTTATCTCAGAAAGCGTAGGCTTTTTCGTTGGCTTTCGTTGCACACATATTACAGAATAGCTAGGGTGGCAAAATTGAAGCCGAACATGGAATGGTAAAGGCTAAGGGTTCTTGGGTCACACAGGACACTCCTGACAAAAAAATTAGTAGACTACTCCCCCAGCACACACACAGACACGCACCCACACACACACACATACACACATCTTGATATTGATGTTTATCTGCCTGCTGGGAAAATTTGCGTGTATTCAAGTCGTAGGAGCTTACAGACCTTTTTCATTGCATTTCACTCAAAGCTATTGGTAAGGTTTCTTATGAGACAGCACTTCTTTTCCAATGTGGAACTGCTTGTCTCTATATATGTTGCACGTAAAATACATCAAAATAAGTAGCCTCTTTTGCAAGCATTTTCAGTGTTGACCCAAAAAACCTGTCCACCCATAAACAT